AATCTAAGCCATCACTTTTATGCCATTTCCTCTTCATTTTCCACAGTTTTGTCCCATTTTCTCACCCGCATCACTGCAATAGTTTTCTCAGCTCTTGCCCTAACAGCTCTTGAGATACCAGAGCTCAGGTAATTTGTTTTGTTGTTAGGACTTCCTTCTATTCCAGCCTTACCAGATTATGTCCATCTCACTTGGGTTGTCCACCCACTTAGATGTCTGCCCTCCCCTTTAGAGGCTGCTTGAGCCTCATCTTTGGTGTGTGCATCATCCTACTCTCTTCAGTCCAGTTGCTCTCTGCCTTTCTCCCTTTTTTGATTCCCCAGGCCCATTTTATTCCCTGATCCCCAGGCAGCAGAAAACCAGCAGCGGTTCAAAGGAAGAGGGTAACAGACATCCACGTGGACAAAGAGATCCCCACCACCATCACCTGCCAAAATGGGCATTCCTAGGGCAGAGGAGGGAGCGCAATGCTTTTGCCCCGTCTAGTCAGAGAGCCCACAATCAAAAAACTCCAGTATTGGAGAATCTGCCTCTCTGCTACATGTTTTGTCCAACATACCACGGGCCCACATCATCCAGCAAACTGTTCCATATTCAGCCCCACCAATACTGTGTCCTGAACCCACCTGCAGCTCTCCTGGCCAGCCAGTGGCTGAATTTTTCAGCTGGAATTTACTACTGTTGTATGGAGAGACCAGGAAAGAAGGAACCATGATCTCTCAGGCAATTAAGGTCTCATAGAGGTTTTAAAGAAGTGGAGGTACACTTTGGGCTGGTAGAAGAACAATGAAGATAAAGGAGGATTCAGGGAAATGTGCTAACAAACTCTTTTACAAAATTGATGGGCCATTACCTTTTCTCTCTTCCTTGTTAGCGAGCTGCTCAGGAAGCCAAGGCCACGCACCAGCAGTTGAGAAGGGGAGACAAAACCCAGCCTGAGGAATGATTAATGTACAGTCCTGCAGCTCCCAAGTGAAAAGAACAACTCTTTTATAGCTTCACTACGCTAATATTTTCCAACATGCTTTTGGCACTGAAAAAAATCCACCTCAAACATGTCATGGGTGGCTTGTTAAGAAGCAAACACCGCGCTGACAATTACTATCTGATACAGTGTCTTTGTTGCTGGCTGGGGCTAAATCACAAGATACACCTGGGATACCACAAATCCTCCAGGTGCCAATGACCTTACTGCTCTTGAAATAAAACTATTTAAGCCAGTGCGAGGACTTTTCTTATTTACAAATAATATCGATGCATCGTCATGGCTCTGTTTTCAGTACAGCAGGAGAGGTAGATTGTACAGAGCACTGTGGCTTTTCCTTTTAAAAATCACACAATATCACCTGCTGAAAGGATGGACAGATACAGTACATTTGTTTTCCTCTAATGCTGTGTCAAACATAACAGCTCATACAAACATGCATAACCACCAATTTGTGGGAACCTGCTTTTGTTCACAATTTTACGAAGGTGCTCCAGCTTTTCTTAAGGTCAAACATATTTTACTTATTTAATTGAAAACAAGGATGCTACCTTTTGAAACAGAAAATCACCACACAGCCTAAAGTCAACCTAACCACGAAGCCTTTGCTTATCACAGAACTGTTAAGGAAAAAAAAAAAAAAGGAACTCTAGAGGTCGGGATAATAGTGTAACGTATGGAGAGAGTGATTACAGACTCCTAGAAGACGTTTCTGCCTGAGGTGAGTTAGCAGACACATCCTCAGATTAAACTTTCATCAGCAGATCTCTGTATTTCATCAATCTTTCATTACAGCATAGCTTAGAAAATCATCTGGTCAGGTGTTATTAGAAAACCTCTTCATCTTCCAAAGCAAAATCTACTCAAATAAATTACTAGAAGCAAAACAGAGTTAAAAAGGAGGGGCTGCAGATCGTTATGGGGCTCAAATAACTCAAAATAGAGGATAATATACATTTTTACAGTATTTTAAAATTGAAACACTGCCTTTCACAAGAAATCCAATATACTTTATTATGCAGGCTCTTAGACCAGAAGATGTAGCTAATTAATAAAATTCACATCCAACAACTTCTGGAGACAACTTCTGGAAGAGCGTCATCCCAGAAGGTAGGATTTCATCAACTTCCTGGACAATTCATCCACTAAAGCAGCAGTGCAATTCCCTCACTTTTCTCTGATGATGGCAAACTCATAACCAGGGAAAGTTGCTTTTTTAGTCAGTGAATGGCTCTGCTGTTTCTCACCTCAGGACCAGTAAGTAATTTTACCAGGATGAGCCCAAGGACTGCATGCTAATGTCTACATGAAAAGAGATGCACTGCAATTTCCAGCTCAACAATATGGCTTTCTCAGCTCAGGTTCTTCTGTCACCAAATGCTTTTGTCTTGTGTGTTAGTGCTTCTTCAGCAAGTGCTACATCCTTTATGCTGCCCTTCAAAGCACATTTCCTATACTGAACCCCTCCTTGCCCAAAACACATTGTACATCTGATTACTCAGTTTGTTCTTTCTGCTTGTCTTTTGGATCTTCTGCTATTTAACATCACATACAGTCCGAGTTTACTTACAAATAATGGCTACGCTGCTGTTCCTACAACCTTATTTTTAAAATGGGTCAATAAAATGTTAAACAAATTAAATTTCAAAAAGAGTGGGCTCCAGTCCTGAAAGACTGGACACAAAATTTCTGTAGAATCAAAATTCTTACAAAGGGCTAAAAATAGGAAAGCTCTGAAATAAAACTTCTTATGATGAAAAAAACAGATTCCAATAAAAGTGGCTAAGAACATTACTGTGCCAGAAAATGAAAAACTAAGGCTGGTTTTGATTGCATGTTTATATATTAAACCTTCAATAAACTATTTCTTGCTGTATTTATAGCAACCAATCATGAAAAGTCATGATCTCTAGACAAAAGAAACGTTCACTTTCAACACAGAAAGGCCAACTCCCACTGCTGATGGTAAACCACGAGAAAAGATTACTTTGCTTGCTCTCTCATGTTCTCTGTATTGACAATGTCACAAATAAACTCTCTTTTCAGGAAAACAGCAGAGGAAGCTTCTACCTTTTATGACCAAGAGGGAGAATGCTCAGCTTGTTTGGGGTTTTCTTGGGTTTTTTTCTCCCACATACTCCATAACTATTGCTTTTTTCTTAATAGAAACATGAAGTTCTGCAGAAGTCTCAACAGAATTGAAATTCATTTTTGGTCCCCAGATATGGCATAAAAAATAGCAGGAATGGGATCAGAGATGCAGTTTCCTGTGCCTTGTACGTAGCCTTTGGTAAATGTTGCCAGATACCATGGCAGATCCACAGCTCAGAGCAGACACAACGACCTGTGCACGCACAATCTTTCCCACCAAATCTTGTCCTTCTGGACTTACGTTCCTCTAGGAGAGTCTGCTATTGCCTCCCACCCCTAGATACATTTCACCAAAAGCTAATGACATTCTTGGTGCCGCATGATTGCAAAAGGCACATTTCTCTTAAATGTCATCTTTCCACGTCGATGCTTCTATGCCCAGTTCTGTTTTTAGGCAAAGCAGGTACCCAGCCTGGAGAAATGTGACTTCTTATCTTATTTTATAAACAACATAATGGAATGATATTATTTTCCAAAGAAATTTAAATGCTTGAAAAAAGAACTATAAAAGCTTTAAAAAAATTTAACAAAAAGCAAAGCTGGATTCCTCTCCTCTGTAAAGCTGCATCACATTTAGGTGCTCCTTAAGATGCTCTATTTATTTCCTGACCAAAGCAAGCTACTACAAAATCTGACTTGAAGGGAAATGTCCAATGCACTCATTCTCTGAGGCAAACAAAGCACTGTAATGGTTTATTTATAAGAACTTAAAACCTTTCTACTTCCCACCATTTCAAAATGGATTTGCCCATTTTAGATGTCAAAAATCTTTACCAATGGAAGTGAAAACCAGTAAAAAAAAGCACCCCAACCATCAGCTATTTAAAGAAGTAAAAAAATTAGAAAGATGGAAACAGAAACACTTAACATTGAATAATTTGGGTTGGAAGGGAACTTTAAAGGTCATCTAGTCCAAGCCCCGTGCAAATTTAGCCAGAGATAATCAGTAACTTTGAGGTATTAAAGAAGTTTCAGAAAATCTTTTACCGGGAAAGATTTTTCAGGTCCAAAATGACGATTCCCATCAAAAGTCAGAGACAAGAAACCCAAACAACCCTGCTATTGCAAGTATCTCAATAATCAAACGTGGACACAAAAGCAGCAGCTCGTTAGTGTTATTTGATCCATACTCCCCATGTGTCAGGATGGGTACTGTCCCAGCATCCTGGAATTACTCAATGTGAATGGCAATGTTTTTGATATATCAAAACTGCTGAATGGTGCTGGGAGACATTTCACTGTCTCTCTCTAATTAAGTCGCCTTGGCAGCCCTGTTCCTACAGCAATGTTCAAGGACAAACCTCAGTTTTCTGCAACACCCTTAGGAATTTTCTTGCATCAAGATTCTTAAGCAGTTGTAATGGCTTAAAACCCTTACTCTTCCCTCAATCCAACTTTTTTCTCCATCAAATCCAGTATCTCAAGCAAGTGGAAACACACGCATACAGTCAGAACGTACGCAGCACATTTAACTTGGACCAGCAGGAAGACATACTTTCACATAGCCAAGAGAAACATACTACAGGACAATTTGAAAAAAAAAGTGTTATATTAAAAAGTATCTGAAACAAAATAATGCTGCATGTGCAGTTTTATGCACCTGGCTGAATTAATCTGAAAGCTTTGCTCAATACAGGTTTAGCAAAACAGCATCTAAGTGATAAACTACCAAAAGCAGAGGTTTTAAAAAGTAACACCAGCAAGAAGAAGAAGAATTTACCCATCCTCTCGTAGCCCCTGGGACACAATTACTTAATCAAATAAATAGCTTTGATATGAAACTGGCTGCGGGCGCACGTGTACTGTGTATCAGCAGCCAGAAATAGCCCCGAGTGAGGAGGGATAAGGAGAGGGGGGGACTCACCGGCCGTTGTCGCGCCCCACGCCCCAGACTCGGATGCTCACGATGGGCTGCGAGTGAAGGACTGTGCGGTCCATGGGGTCAATCAGGTTCAGCATGTCGTTTTCCAGTATGAGGTACATGTCCTTGCCCTGCAACTCCAGACAAAGTACAGTCACACAGTACGTCCCCCTCTCAGACTGCCTGCGATCAAGGTGTTACGCCTGCGCTGTTCAGACTTGCACGCTCTTAATTGACTAAAAGTTTCCGTTTGTTCCAGGAGCAATTGAAAACAAGTTCATTTACTTCTGGTGTGAAAAAGATCTAAGATCGTGTAAGATATTATCTTGCTACTACTACATTTTTAAACGATCCCAATCAAAAAAAAGCTTTGATGTATTTTAAATGCAACAGTTTGACTCATTCAACCCCAAGCTACTGATTTATTCAGCAAATTATGTGTTTATCCTTTCTCAAGTTAAATTCTTCCAAACATAAGAGAAGTCAAGAACTGTGTTAACAGTAAAGGCTCACATCAGAACCTGTACTCTTAAGACAGAGTTTTTTCCTTCAAACAATATGCTTTGTTTCCACAAACTTTAACCAACAGGTCATGTGAACAGACAGCAATTTGTAAGTGTCAAAGGATTTACAGCATACGCTTTGAAGAAAGATTAATTAAAGGGGAAAACCCAGCATTAAGACATGAATGTGAATTCTGACGGTGACTGCAGAATCCTGGAGCCAGGCTTTCTCCCTCATTCTTCTGGCATGTAAGAACAAGGAGAATGTTTTTTTTTCCCCTTAGAGGAAACAAATTAAGAGGCAATTTGATGCTAATTCACAAATGCTAATCTTCCTCCTATGGTTATAACACTTGCAAAAGGTCTGCTGCCTCTTCTGTCACAGCTCCCAGCTCCCTTCTCAGAGGCTGCACACCTACTCTGCAGACTGCGGCATCCCATGGAAATGGTCACGGACCTATTGCCAAGAGATAAAACAAGCTCCTACTGATAAGAATAATAAGAAGGTGGGAGCCATCAGCTAAATATAGAGTAATCTGTTTCCTGTCTATTGTGCCAGAATCTATAAATGAACAGAAAGAATGGAAAGGGGCTGACTTCCTACTGACACGTTTCAGAAATGACCTTTTGCTTCACCTCAGTGACACAGAATCCCTCTTCCTGCTTGGTTACAGTGGCTCAAGTTTTAAACGACACCTAATTTTGTGTCCAAGACACACATTCACATCACCCTGGAAGGGCCTGCATCCAGCATTTCCAGGCTAGGCAGCAAGGGGCAGGTGCTGCTGACCACCTCTCCCTCCCCAAAAATCTAACGGGGACTCAAAGGGGTGTTGTGACACACAGCTGGCACCAAGAGGGATGTGGGAGAGGAAGGGGACACAGGTGACACCAACACAAGAACATTCTGCCTGATGGAAAAAGCATATCTGTGGCTGAGATGCAAGGCTGGAGTGTGTAAATGGGGTGAATCAGCAGCACTGCACGGCTTGTGGCATGAGGAAACACGGGAAATAAACCACAGAAGCCAGGGTGGCAGCAGGCAGACCAGGATGACAAAGGAAACCAAACAGAAAACACAGCCATGGCAAAGAAAAAGGGTGAGAAATTTGCTTGGAGGTCAGAAGCAGTACACAGATTGCGCGAAGAGCGTTACCAAGTGTCACAAAGATTGCTTTTTGGACCCATTTTCTGCTTATATATTTATTCCAGAAGGAAATTATTGTAAGAAGGTAAAATCTGTTCATCATGCAAAACAGACTGGGATTAGAGTAATAAAATGGAATCCAAATTAGCTGGAAAAGATTGGGGAATGGGCAGATAAGCAACATAAGTCACAGGAAATTATCCCTGCAATGCTCAAGGGATAGCTTGGCCGCAGCCAGAAGCAATATATTTTGCTAAGTTTTGTTGTCTTGTTATACAAAAGCTATTTTAGAGACAAAAACACTGCATAGGGCAAGAAGAAATTATTTTGACAGACTGGGAGCTTGAAGATAGACCTCACTGTCTCAGACTGATGAAGAGTGGCAGAGACCTGATGGTCCAAGATGAAGGTGGCTCTCACTGGAAGAGCCACGCAGGGAAAGGGAATAAAGAACGAAAGGCGCAGTCCCAGCTGTGTTATATACCCAGGGAAGTGCTACATATTGTGCTATACAGGCCAATACCAACAACCTGTTTTCTTCATGTAAGTGATTTTGTAATGTACAGGAGTATAATGCATGGCTAAGCAGCGACAAACAGAGGAGTCATGTTTTTCTTCTGAAGATTTTATAGAGCCATGGAAGTTAGAAATTTACAGGGAATTTCTTTTGGAGAGGAGCAGAGGGCATGAAATCCCACATTAGAGCCAGCGACAAAGCTTCTGCAGGGTCAGGATTTTATGCAGAGTGTGGGGAGTTTTTGTGGTTTGTTTTTTTTAAATCATGAAAACTTGGGGATGGCCCTACTCCCAATTTCACTTTCATTACATTCAAGCTAAAATAAATCTTCAGGCTATCTTAAAACCTCTATCTGCAGTCATCAGTTCTGGCTTCATAACAGGTTTCTTCTGTATGTGCTCCATCTGATATGTCAGTGACTAGCACACTTTTTTCAGATTCCTCTCTAAAATGTGCCTCTTGCAATCACTCTTGAAGTATTACATTGCCAGCAGAAAAATGTGGTTGTAATGATTTCTTTTAAAATCAAGAAGAAAATTTACTTCAGGGGCCACCTATTCAAGCACAGTGTCTCTATTGTTTTGTCAGGGTGATTTTTTTTTTTATGAATAGCATTCTTAATTAAAACTTCCATTCAAGAGGACCAAAACTTTTCACCAGTTTGGCCTGAAAACCTGCAAGGCTTTCCAACAAAGAACAATAGGACTGACAGAGAGAAATATGGAAAAACATGAACGTTAACTCTGAAACCAAAATGAAGTATATTGTTTACTTTGAAATCACATGCTTTAAGTTGATCAAAATGTTGTCATCTGAAAAATGGATGGGATTACACATGTGTAAAGAAAGCGGCTTTTTCCCTTCCAGGGTCAGCAGTAAGTCCAAGGTTCATGACTGACAAATCTCTAATTGCTTCTCTAGCTATACTAACTAAATAAAACTGTTCCCAGAAGCAAGGAAAAAGGAGATCAATGTTATCTTGTTCATTTATATCTACATACATTTCTTACATTAAAAAAACCTCCTTCTGAAATGACTTTAAATAGATAGGGCACCCTAATTGTGTCCTTTAAAACATCTTTAAAATGTTTTTAAACAGGCACTTTCTCCCAGTTGCTCCTCTGAAGTGTATATGCTTTGTTATAGTTATTGCCAGGACACTGAAAGCAACCCTTAGACTGTAACAAAAACTTGGGAGACTGAAGGATATTTTCCCAAAAATCTTTACTGAAACAGACAAGTCTTTCTTTTAATTCCTCTTCTGTTCGGCAGTGCTGTTTCTCCTAGATCACACAGTGAAGGTAACAACATTCACTCCTATGTCAGTTTTTTACCCAGATCTTGTCAGTAAACCCACATTAGCGTAACCCTCCTGACAACAGGTCAGGAGAGAGGTAGAGAATAAGATTTGGCTGAAGTTTAAGGTGCTCCATGATCAATCAAATAACGAAGATGTTTTTCTAGGGGTTTGTCTCCTATTTCCTCTGTAGATCCCACAGCTATAACCCCAGCTTTCCTTTTCCTCTTGTTTCATTTAGTGATCTGCCCCACCTTCACCTGTGCCCAGCACACACCTCTTTTCCACACCACAGCACCTCTCCCTTCCTTCGTGTTTCTCCCTGCGCTCCCATGGCATTATCCTGTCAATTTATAAAGAAGCACAGAGCTCACAGGGTTCAGCTGATGAAGGTGTAAAGGCCCATCACCAAACCAAGAAAGCAGAGAGCTGGGCTCTGTTTTTCCCCTCAGTGTGTGGAAATTTGGCATCCTTCAAAACTGGATGATGCTGGTGAACAGATTCAAGAGCTATTGGACAGGAACCAAGAGACAGACTGATGACATAAAATTAATTTCCTTCTGAAACACTGATAAAATAATCATCTTAAAATAAGCCATCTGTCCATCCATCGGTCTCCATTGTCTCAAACATTTTAGGAGCTCGGGTCACACCAGTCTAGGTTTCTCTGAAGCCCTTTTGTCACTGTGAAATGTGTGAAAATGCTGTTCCAAAGCACCGCTCTCAAACCTCTGCTCAGGAGAAAGACTTCCACTGATTCCAACAGTTTGTCCCAACACTGTTGGCACAGGTGTGCACTAATATAGGTGCAAATGCAAAGATGATGTCTTTGTGGCACCTGCTGTCCTGAAAAGTTTGGAACACTTTCCATCAACACTTTCCTTGAACCCTTTTACATTTTCTAGCAGCGACAGATGGAAAAGGGAAGTCCCAAACACACAGCACGGATGTATTTGCCTACAGAGTTGTTATTTCAAGATGTTTTATGACAAGAGAAGGACGTTCCAGCAAGGTTCCCTCCTTTCTTACCTCTCCCCAAATGCCGACAGTGTCTCTGATGTCGTTTTTACAGTAAGAGAGTTGTCTGATGCAATTGTTCACAGCAACACTGCTTTTTCCAGGAGCAAGATCTTCTTCTGCCATTTCTACCCAGCCCAGAGATCGCACAGCAAAGCACTAAAAAGCAAACAGAAAATACCTGAACGTGTATCAGAGCACTCAATACACTGCTGTATCCAGCTATGGAAATCTCGTCATACAACAAAAAACAGTCAGTTAAAATTAAAGAACCCTGGCAAAGAGGAGAACAAAATCTTGTAGATGAGCTTATGCTCAAAGATAAATAAATTAAAATAGAATTTGAGAATGGCAAAGTGAAAACATTCAAAGGAACAAAGAAGAATACATGACTTGCCAGGGAAGGCAGCTGTGGAGGTAAAATATTCTTTACAGTAAAATACTTTTGTTAATATAAAGGAGGAAACAAGGGAGCAGTAAATAGTAGGACACACAACCACAGAAATAAAGGAAAAAGCACAAATACAGATACAGTAGAACTGAAATTTTAGCTAGTATCTAGAGCTCTAATTGAAAAGAAAGAAAATACAATTGGATTACATCCATTGTGAGACTCACACTCACTTGGTATATCTGTCTGACTTTTAACCACAAAATTAATTTTTTTGTGGATTACAGCAATCATTTCTACAGTAAGTTTAACTAAGGCAGCAAACAATAACAAATTCAAAGTACTAATAAAAAGATAAGCTATCTTAAGAGGAATGCAGTTGTTTTTTCTTCTAGAAGAAATTAAAAATGACCTTTAAAATAAAACAATCTAATTATACAGTTTTTTAGCAGAAGGATGTTTAGCCAACCAGAGCACTCAGTTGGCAGAACAAGCCAAGGCGACATTACTTTGCACATATGGTGCTTTTTGCAAACAAAACAAAATGGAAGAAATCAAGTGGCATCATCTCTACCCTACATTTACTAGGGTAAAGAATGAAAAACTTTAATTCTGAAAAAAACCCCACATGTTTGCTCTCAGGCCTTACAGCGGGGGAAATACAGACCTCACACTAAGTCAATGGGAGTTTCCCTGTGAGACCAGGATTTCCTCCAGAAAACATCATGGGTATATCTCACTCACAGATTGCCATGCACTGCCAGAGAAGGATGCACAAGAGTCTTACTGGTGTAGCTCCGTAACAGGCACACCAAACATTTATGACGGTCCCTAAAGGTTCAGCAATAATAGTTCCTGAATGACCCCACACCAAATTCCTGCTCTAAGTATTTAATATAGCAACAGGCACCGCCACTGAACAAAGCCAACTGAAATGCCATCCCATCTCCGAGCTCGGTTTCCCTGCGACTCTTTGCTTGAGTCAGTGATTAGACACTGCACCAGCACTGACATCCAGCTGCACTCACTTCTTACACCCAGATCCTCCTTGGTCCTCCACCCAGACCCTGATGCCTCCGACAGAAGCACAGGACTCGGCAGGCACAAGTTCCAAAAGTGAAAGTGAGAAAATTTACAATTAATAACTGACAATCTGCCATTGTATAACATCTCTTTCACCTCAAGCCTCCCCTTGTCAAGACGGATCAGGTATTGATGTCAATTAGTGCTCAGTCCTTGGTACCCTGGCTTGCTTCAGCGTTATTCATGCGTTTCTTCTGAAATGTTTTGCTGTCCTATGTTGTTCCGGTGACCTGACTTGCAATTGTCTCAGTCAATCCAGTTCCCTCTTAGGTAGTCAGTGCAATTTTGACCTTGCAAAGACCAACACTGATTGTCCAGCGCTTGTGCCACAGAGCTTTCCTCACTGTCAGCAGCATCCTGAGGGTCTCAGGAAGGCAGACAAGGATCCTGGGAGCTGCTTGGAGGAAGCTGGCACCAGTGACCACCAGGAACCCTGCTGCCTCCAACGGGACCCTGCCCACGCGGGCACACAGCCCAAGAGCAGCAACAGCAAGTCCACACTGGAGTTACCAATTAATCCCTCTTCTTGAGATACAGTAAATAAATCAGCTTTGGAATTCAAAAGCGGGCACTGAATATTCATTTGCTGCCTTCTAAAAACTGCTGTGAAGTCAGTGAGTAGATCAAGCTCACGCACCATCACTGGTGTGCCATTTGGGAACCACCGTCCTCCAAAAAAGACCCCAAAACACCAAGGTGTTTTAAATATGCATAATATCTCAAGTTTGGCAAACTAAGGGAGGAATAAAATTCAACAGTGAGTAAAGAAGATTAATGAGTTTCTCCTTCCTTCCCTTTAAAACTTCTCTCCTCCTTCAGCCTTCTTTCAGCTTGCACAAGACACCCATCCAGCCCACTTGGCCAAGCAGAAACGCCAGCTGAGGGTCTGCCTCTCGTACCCCTGGTGCCTGCTCCAATGAGTCACTAATGAGGCATCTCATCTAAGGCATCAGACAGCAAATGCACTCTGCAAATTGTGTGAAACCCTTTAGAGAGTGTCGATAAAAAATTAAAGCCTTTCATGCCTCCAGATTTTTCGTTGGAAGCATTATTATTTTTTATTATAATTATTTTTTGCTTTGCAAGCAAGGAAACCAATATGCAAATTCTCCTACACTGCTGCTTCCTGACCCAGCTCTGCTGGAAACCCACAAAAGCACCGACTTTCAAGATTTTAAAGGGAGATGAAGGAGAAGGTGAAAGAGGAAACAAAGGAGAGGTCACCACTCAGGGGTACTCTTCACTTCAGGGCTACAAGAGATACTAAAATATCCATTTTTTAGCAATTATTAAGGTCATCTAATCTCAAGATTGCAGAATTGTTTTTGGCACATCAGATGCTCATGAATCTCGCTGAAAGTGCTGCGATGCCCATTGGGGTATTAAATATTTATCTTTGCAAGCTTTTAAAATACAGATTTTTACTGTGCCAGAAGAAACTGTTTTTACAAGTACTTCAATATTAAATTGAATAACAGAATTCTAGCAGAGAGTAATATTTTCTAAATCATCTTGAGAGGTGAAGAGCTAAATATATACAACAAGCATATTGTCTCCTCATTACTCTTCATATCTCAACCACGTCTGCAATTTGTTAGCTGCTTTCTAAACACAAAGATAAATATATTCCTTGCATTGAACAGAGTAAAAGGCAAAAAAACTAGTGAAAGACAATCAGTTCAAGCTGACAGCAAGTAAATCTCTTACTAGTAAAATGGTGAACTGTATTTTTTTTCCTGGCCATTCTTAGTCTCTGTTTAAAATTCCCCAGTGGAAGCATCCCCTGTATTTCTTTCCCTTCCCAGCCCACTGCTGTGACAGTAGAGGGAGCTGAAAAGGAAACTCTTGTCCATCCCACCTATTCCCCTCCGTGGAAGGGCTTGGTGTCCTTCCTTGCTTTCATTCCCTCTTGGTGCTTCCAAGCCAGGTAGACATGAGAAATCCTATTGGGTTCTAGCACCTGGCAAGTTTTTGTTTGTGTTTTACAAGAAGCCCTCACCATAACCCACATAAAATCCTTCAGAACGCCTTCAGCAAAACAAACCTATTTCCCAAAGACTCACTGCAAACAAAAAAACCCCTCTCAATAAACCCCAGAAAGACTCAACACCCCACCCACAAGGCAACACATGTACCTCAATATACACATACAGGAAACATTCTTTTGCTCAAAACACACATAAAGACCAAAAAACTTCTTGGTTAACCGAATGTATGTGCTGGCATGACTCCGAAATGATGGCAGAGCTCCATGCAGATTTCAGCACAAGAAAATATGAGGATTCAGAGTGACACGTGATACATACCCTGGTTTGTTCATTATCAGTAAAGTAGGAGTATTTCTACACACCCCCATGGGGTGGGAGAGCGGTGGGAGTGTGTCACGTGTCACACGTGTCTGTCTGTCTCTTTCTGCATATTGCCAGCGACTGTATTATTTATAAAAGATCCACTGCATGTTTTATTGTTGGTGGTTCCTCCCTCTGATCCCCTTAGAAGAGGTTCTTTTTAAAATAAAAGAGCACAAAACCCAGCAGAAAGAATCCACCCAGTGTCTCCAATCAGGTGTGACCTAATTCTGAAACCAGGGCTCGCTGAGTTAGCCACGGCAGCAGAATTGCTCAGTTCTCTAGCAGAGTAATACAGCATCACCCTTCCCCGGCTCCCACCCACGACACTTCCTAGCCAAGAGACAAAGTGCTTCCTTGGACCTGGAAGAGCTTTGCTAAGGCACCCTCTTTTCTCCTGGAACTAATATCCAGACTCAAAACAAGCCAAGCTGAAAAGCGGAGTGCGGCTCTCCTTGACTAAGAGTCTACGAGCTCAGTAAAACAGACATTCCTGGTAATGCTGGGTGGTTAAGTAGCTCTACTCGAGGCTCACAGATAATTTTACTGGCAAATGATAATCACTGGCCCATCATAACTTCCAAGTAATCCAGATACCAACTTTTGGCTTACAGCAATACACCTGATTTCTTTTTTCCAATACAGAATAAACAAATAACCCTTGTATGACATTACACATTACTAGTAGTAACTTACAAAATAAAATCTTACTGTTTTCTGTGCCTGGTCAGACCTTCTGATTTATCTTAAATCAATACTCTAAAAACGATGATTTAAATAACTATATCTGAATAAAGATAAGTGAAACATGGGTTTCCTCTCTGCTTGTCCCCAGACTCTTCCCAAGAGCTGGCAAACAAAAACAGGTTTGAAGAAAAACAAAGAAACTTGATAAATACAGCAGGATGAAAGAGATTTAGGAATTGTATATTGTATTTGGATCACTGCTGTTTGGGATAGGGAAGATCAAAGATACTACCATGAGCACTGTGTGTCTGAGAGAAGTGAATGAAAAAATGTCTTTTAAACCATGATATGTCAATAATCTTGTATTTTCATCTCAACTGGAGACTTCAAATTTCCTTCAAGGCTACAAAGGACATCGTGCAAAGAAAATACAGAGGGGAAAAAGGCCACCTTATCACACACTGCCCTGCGAAAAGACAGGTGAACAGAAATGAAAACACAGATATCACTGCTCAGTTTTATAGTTCTGGGGAACATATGTTTGCAAGGCTGCAAATCCAATTAATGTTTCAGGGTTAATGACCTGTAGCCAAAGAACCAAACTCATAAATGCTGTAATCCAAATTCTGTAAAAACCTGTAAACCTCCCT